GGAGAAGGACCGATTCAAGACCTTGGGGGACCTGCGGAAGCAGTGGACTGAGTCTAGAGTAGAAACATCAGGAGCCACTGTGTACAGGTGTGTGCAGGAAATGGGCTACAGGTGCCGCATTCCCCAGGTCAAGCTACTTTTGAACCAGAAACAGCGGCAGAAGCACCCGACCTGGGCTACAGAGAAGCAGCACTGGACTGTTGCTCAGTGTACAAAGTACTTTTTTCGGATGAAAGCAAATTTTGCATGTCATTCGGAAATCAAGGTGCCAGAGTCTGGAGGAAGACTGGGCAGAGGGAAATGCCAAAATGCCTGAAGTCCAGCGTCAAGTAGTGGACATGTCTCGAGTCCCTCACAGGGACACGAAGAAGAAAACAACTAGTCACATATTCACTTACATCTAAGAACCATTTAGAGTCACACGGATTTGAACCTGCAGACATCTTGCTGCGAGGCAACAGTGCTACCAGCTGCACCACAATGCAGGTCCCCCCCCCCCCAATCCAACCTCGTAATGCTGAGTGTCAAGTGGGGAGGCATTGGGTCCCATTTTTTAAAAGTCTTTGGTATGATCCGACCGTGGACTCTTACCCACGATCTTAGGGTGGACACTCATACCACTAGGTCACTGAGCTGTTTTACTTGTAATGATTTCTTGCACTGATGACCAGAATAGTTTCTTCTTCTTAGACCACCTCCCTCCAATCGTGATGTCAGCATGAAACATGGAGTGTGTGATGAAGGATTTGAAAGATCTTTGTTCTTTAGGCTGTGAAGCAAGAAGACATCACCCTTTCGGGTGTTTTCTGCCCCTAATCTCATCCAAAAGTCAGTCATGTTTCACTTTGGTCTAAATGTTTATGGTTTGATAGAAATGCAAGGCCACATGTAAAAATATATAAAAGGTCAGAAGAACTGTTCTGTTAGGTGTAAAGCATCATGAAACAAATAAACACAAGTGTTTGGGTGTTGTGTCCTGCAGAACTGTACAGAGAACAAACACCACACTTTGTCTTCTGTCTTCTTCAAAAAGCAGTCACAAATGACTTCCCATTACCAACTCTTAGGCTACTTTATCCCAATGATTCAGCATGTCTTCAACATTTTATACAGAATGTCATCCTCGAGGCACGAGGAGGAAGCAACTAGAGAACATGTCGCAGTACAACATGCAGCAGCCCCAGTGGGGTGCTCTGCACTGTACCTTCTGTCACAGCTTGGATCCAGCTGATACTATGTGCTATCTCATAAGCACATGCAGATCTAAGCTTAAACTGTCCTAGTATTTTTTTTGTCTTAACAGAAGCATAAAAAAGGAAAAAAGCATATCCTGACCATCTGTGGCTTATGAGCACTGCATATGTAGGAATTAGACATGCTTAGAAAGACAAACTAACCTTCCCCCTTTCTTTCTGCATCAATTCGACCGGCACGCTGGTGGAAGTGCCGGAGGCTTGTTCTCGGTTTGCCTCCTTGGAATCAAATATGTCATTTCCCTCTAAATGAAGAAACACAGGCCGGGTTGATTTTGTGTTATTGCTCTTCATTCCTGCTTTCACTTCTCTCCCTATTTTGGATTTAAAGTCACTCCGTACCGGATCAGCTCAGTCAACGTTCCGCAAGATCCTTTCCTGTTTTCCAATCCAGCCACTAAATGGATGGAAGTCATGCCAGAGCTCACAGTGGATGCAAGATGAGAATGTGTGTGTGTGTGTGTGTGTGTGAGTGTGAGTGTGAGTGTGAGTGAGTGTGTGCATGTGTGTGTATGTGTGTAGGTGTGACTGATTGTGTGCATGTGTGTGTTTGTGTGTGTGAGTGAGTGAGTTTGTGTGTGTGTGTGTGTGTGTGTGTGTGTGTGTGTGTGTGTGTGTGTGTGTGTGTGTGTGTGTGTGTGTGTATGTGCATGCAAGTGTGTGAGTGTGTGTACTGTACAGTGCTCTGGAGTGTATTTGTGTGCGTGCATGCATGGGTGGGTGCAGGCATGCGCGTGTGTGTATATGTGCATGCAAGCGTGTGAGTGTGTGTACTGTATGGTGCTCTGGAGTGTGTTTGTGTGTGTGCTTGGGTATGTGCATGGGTGCATGCGTATGTGTATGCATGGGTGGGTGCAAGTGCGTGTGCATGTGTGTGTGCGTGTGTGTGTGTGTGCATGTGTGTGCGTGTGTGTGTGTGTGTGTGTGTGTGTGTGTGTGTGTGTGTGTGTGTGTGTGTGTGTGTGTGTGTACTGTACAGTGCTCTGGAGTCCTATCATTCACACATCTGTAAATGGAACTCCAGCCCTCAGGTGAAACCCTGGCAGGTAAATGAGTCCAAACTCTGCATCACTCTTGAGGAACCTTGAGCTCGTGCCAGGCTTTTATTATCTTTGAACTCATCAAGGCAGCTAAAGATCATTTTTAATGAGTAAAAACAAAAAGGAGAGTTTGTAGAAATTAAAAATCAAAGTAATGCTGGTAAGCAACTACCTAACAAGTTTAAATGTTATTTTCCTTCTTGTGGGCTTTTCCTCCTACACTAGAACAGTGTTTGACATGTTTATTTGTTTCTGGTAAACCAGGTTGTGTTAAAGCCTCACACTTTTGAATATGTTCTCATTACAGCAGACAGATGGCACTGCTGTGTTCAAATGTCATCTGTGAAAATGGTTAATTTAAATATTAGTCTGATTCTATTATCATACAAATTGTTATACTGTTTCAGTACAGAAGCCTCACACAGGACCAAAGGAATCAGAAGCATATTTGACAGTTCCAAAGACAGACCTGCATTCAAATCATATCCAGTAGAAGGAACAAACACATGTAGAGTGGTGCTGGATAAAAACCCAACAGGGCGGTGCTTCTGATGCATGACTGGTGGCAGGAGCAGCTGATCAGCCTCCATCAAAACCCACAACAAGCACCATTCTAATCATTCCAGTAACAATATTGAGTCAGTCATACATCCAGAATCTTCTTTATTATTCAGATTTGATCTCAGACACACAATCAGACCAGTGTCTTTGATTAGGATGAAACTATGAAGGAGACTTTAAGAAATAAATTGTTTTAGCTCAAAAGTATTTTACTCAAATTCTGTTCAATGAGATGGAAAAATACTTTGAAAACACTTGAAAATGAATACATATTACTAGTATTACAAGTACTGAACACTGGCTTCTGTGTTTTTAATGGATTTAAAAAATAACATGCCATATATTTTATTTACAAGTTACACAGATGTGAGACAAACTGTCCACTCAGACTGTGCACGCCCACCGAAGTGCAGAGACTCAGCATCCACACCATAACCCCACTCTCATTACAGCTGCACTGTTTCCTTTTCTTAAAACTTAGTCGTGAAACACTTCTCATTTAAAAACGATCAGTTTCCCTTCACAGCAGAGAGGCAGAGATGCTAGATGAACGGTTTAGAGCTGGGTGGATTAGTCCTGGTTGACCCTCTAATGGGCCATTTCCATCTGTACCGCGTCGGCCCGGGCCGGGTCCCACACGTCCTGCTGTAAGCTGCTGATCAGGAGATGCCTCTGAAAGCATGACAGCCTTCAGCTCTCCATGCTGAATAGACAAGCTTTCCCAAACTGCTCTTTGGCAAAACAATTAACTACAGGCCAGGAGATTTGCTTCATGTGCAAAACAGAAGAAAGGTTTGAGGTGAAATTTAGTCTTACGCATCTCAGAGTAATTATTGCAGGCTGCATTGTTGTGTAACCCGTGAATGTCTGGGTCACAAAAAAATTTGTTAATCATGTTGTTAAAATCTAGGACAAAAGGATGTGCTGTGTGTGTTTCTGTGTGTGTGTGTGTGTGTGTGTGTGTGTGTGTGTGTGTGTGTGTGTGTGTGTGTGTGTGTGTGTGTGTGTGTGTGTGTGTGTGTGTGCGAATCAAATCTGGATCTAATTGCTGGACAAAAGTCTCACTTTGGCATCCAGTGAATGGAGACACCATAAGTCATTTAGAATTGAGGAGATTCTTCAAACAACACAAACCCAACCCCAGGAGTGGGTGATCTATGAAAACCTCCCGTCTGTTCAGATTGTCGGTGCGTTTTGTTCATTAATGCAAAAAATATAGAAGCAAATGGATCCCAGAAACACTTTCCCCACTCTTTAATCATCATCTTGCCTCTCAAACATCAACCTGAAAAAGTGCAAATAGGACTTTGTGTTGTCCAACCCCCAAATTCCACTACCTCCGCTCCACTCCGACACGAACGCTGGAGCAAAATCGGTCCCGTTGTAGTCAGTCAGAGCAATTCCACTACTGCGGCCGTGCTCCGGCAGTGCGGCGCAGTGCGCCGCCCTCTGTTCCGGCGTCTGGCAAAAATAGAATCAATGCTATTTTTGCCGGACGTCGGAGCACCTCCGCAGTCAATGGACAGAAATCACAACCGCCCAACAGGAAAAGGAGCAAGTACAACTTCCGTTTTTCACAATAAATCGATAAACAAAAGGCATTTTTAGTTTCATATGCACAGGTTTAACAACTGTTAACAACTATCAATGGCGGCTGAAGTTTAAATGCACAAAAATAAGCCATAAATACAGTTTCTACTATCAAAGTAGTCACACTTTGTTAATCCAAACACTGCTGACCTCTCAACACAAATGATGGGCAGATTAAACAGTTCATGCCGATGCTTCTCCCACACAACGGGTGTTTGGATCTAACTTCCGCATTTATTGCTCGGACTGTATCGCAAGATCTCGAAAATCCCACGCATGCCTGTTTGCCTACCTCAGGTCTCTGCACCGGAGCGGAGCCGTTGTAGAGCGGGTACCAGTAAAAATTGAGTTCGGAAGTGAGCGGTTGCGGAAGGCGGGGGCGGAGCGGAGGTAGTGGAATTTGGGGGTTATTCCTGATCCAGCGCTGGTAAATGATAATAAAACAACCTTATCTACAACACTGAGACAGACCAAGAAGGAGCATGGACACCGAGGCGTTCCATAGGTGGTTCAGGTTGGTTCAAATGAATTACAGCAAGGTCGCATAGCAAGATGGTGAATAACTGATAAATAGTGAATGTGTCTTTATTCCAACTGAGAATGCAATACAAATTAGAATGACAAAGGGACATTTTATCACACCAAAGCTAGCACAGGAAATAAACCTTCATTCGACATTTTGTAACGTTAAACCTGAAGTGCTGGCTCCTGGTTTCCTCTCTTGTAAGCCTCCAGATCAAGCATGCATATCTGATAATGAATCACAAGATGTAAAAATGATGCACATTTAAATTTGGATGTCTGATACATCTGAAAGAAAATGAAAGAAAAGCCATTTCACCTAAAGGTCACCACCGACATTCTAAATAAACGCAGACTTGAATTTGGCATTTCTCCTCTGGAGAGGACTAGAGTGTCTAGTCACAATGATGCATGGCTGAGGTCAGCAGCAGCTATGTATACAGCACATACAGGTTCTAAAGGTTTCAAATAAAATAGACACATCAGTCATATACACTACACAAATAGAGATACTGCTTTTTTCTTTCATTTTGAACAATGGAGCAGTGAAACCTTCAAAAGGCATTGTTTTCTAACCGGGTACAGGTGTCATTCAGCACCTCAGGGGTGTCGACTAGACGTCTGTAGAAAAGGTCATGTGACTGCCTCAGGGGTGACTGGTGTCTATGGAGGCTAATAAGGATGTGCTAGATTCAAGAGCAGAAATTGTGACTCTATTGGGGCAAACTGTGCTGTCCATGTGGCGGGAAGCTCTGGGCGAGGGGAGCGCACGTTTTTTTTCTTCAGGTAGGTCAGAATCAGGGAGCAAACCAAGACAGTTCTGTAAATTATAGCAAGGCTTCCCCCACCAACCCGCACACCAGAATCAGACCGGCAACTCCAAGGCTGGATATCCTCGTTCCTGTGGAGAGAAGACAAAAACGTGTCGTGTTAATGTTAATCTGAAACAACGATCAGTGGCTGTTCATCTAACAGAGTGGATCGACAGGACTGACAAGTTTAAATAAGCACAAGTACCTAAACACTAATCATCCATCATTCATCCATCCATCCATCCATCCATCTACTCATCCATCCTTCCATTCATCCATCCATCCATCCATCCATCCATCTACTCATCCATCCTTCCATTCATCCATCCATCCATCCATCCATCCATCCATCCTTCCATTCATCCATCCATCCACCCATCATCCACTCACCTATCCATCCACCCTCCTATTCATCCATACTTCCATTCATTCATCCATCCATCCACCCACCCACCCTTCTATTCATCCATCCACCCTTCCTATCATCCATCCATCCAACCATCCATCCTCCCTTCTATTCATCCATCCTTCCATTCATCCATCCACCCTTCCTATCATCCATCCATCATCCATCCACCCACCCATCTTTTCATCCATCCACCCTTCTATTCATCCATCCATCATCCATCCACCCATCTATTCATTCATCCATCCATCCATCATCCATCCACCCTTCTATTAATCCATCCTTGTCATGTACCCGGGCAGAGGTGAGTGACACCATCTCCACTCTAACTATAATTGAGCTGATTTCCCACAGTTGAGGAGCAAAGGGGGCGGCAGCTGCCGGAGATCCCAATCAGGAACGCAGGTTTAAAAGGAGGATGGAGACACCTCACTACGCCGGATGATTGCACCAGTTTAGGTAGCCCCAGCCCTTTGTACTCATTCTTGTTTGCTTGATTGTTCTCGTTATTGGATACTTGGATTTTGACCTCGGACTGTTTTTGGAGTATCCCTTACGCCTGGTGTTTGTTTCCCTCCCTTCAGGATCCTCACTCCACCTGCTTCCCGCTCGCTGTTTTTGTACTCCGGATTCATACACCACGTCCCATCCTCCTCCGTTGTTCCTGTTGGCCCCCCTCTGTGACCTCACCCATCCCGGATCGCTCACTCTCTGCCCAGCACTCACCTCGGCTCCCCCGTCTCCCTCATTCATCCCGAGCGCTACTTGGACTCGAACTTTACCGCTCACACCCACAGGACTTCCTTGTGCCATTTTTGTTCCCGTTTTATAATAAAGAACGTAACTTTTACTCAATCTGCCCGACGAGTATTGATTCTGCATGCCTTGGGTTAGATACTTACCACGAGTCATGACAATCCTTCCATTCAGCCATCCATCAGCCATCCACCCATCTATTCATCCATCCATCAGCCATCCACCCATCTATTCATCCATCCATCACCCATCCACCCATCTATTCATCCATCCATCATCTATCCACCCTTCTATTCATCCATCCTTCCATTCATCCATCCACCCTTCTATTCATCCATCCATCCTTCCTATCATCCATCCATCCATCCATCCATCATCCATCCACCCATCTATTCTTCCATCCATCCACCCATCTATTCATCCATCAATCATCTATCCACCCTTCTACTCATCCATCCATCCTTCCTATCATCCATCCATCCATCATCCATCCACCCATCTATTCTTCCATCCATCATCCATCCACCCATCTATTCATCCATCCATCATCTATCCACCCTTCTATTCATCCATCCTCCCTTCTATTCATCCATCCACCCATCTATTCATCCATCCTTCCATTCATCCATCCATCATCCATCCACCCATCCATTTATCCATCTATCCTTCTATTCATCCATCCATCCATCATCCATCCACCCTTCTATTAATCCATCCATCATCCATCCACCCTTCTATTCAGCCATCCTTCCACTCATCCATCAACCCCTTCTATTCGTCCATCCATCCATCCATCCACCCATCTATTCATCCATCCATCATCCATCCACCCATCTATTCATCCTTCTATTCAGCCATCCACCCTTCTATTCATCCACCCATTCATCTATGTCGTAATAACTAATAACACAATTTGAATATGTAGTTAATAAAATCCCAGTCAAGTCTAATAAATAGTTACAGGATTGCAGTTTTTATGTTTTTGCAACTGAGTCACTTTGCAGACTTTCTCCCTTTGTTTAGCAGCAGAGTCACAGGGCTGGTAAAACAGGCCATGTTCCACTGAGTCTGGTCACATCGGAGCATTAACTCACCACAATGACAAACAGCCACAACAGGAAATATGATGAAGTTCAAACAAATAGAAGATTTGTCACAGACAGACATGGTTATTTGTAGCCCAACTGTCATGTTGCGGGGATGTTTAGGACCCAAATATGCAGATTACCCAGACGACAAGAGGCAGAAGTTGGTTCAAAGTAAAAAAATCCTTTTATTTGCAGGATAAAAGAACAACAATAAATCCAAGGCAGCGAGCCAAAGTCCAAAAGTCCTGGAGCACAGGACACCCAAAGCTCTCTCAGAGCACCAAAAAACCTAGACAAGAAGCTCACTAAGAGCACGAAGACCTAGAAACGAAAAGCTCAGACAGACGAACAAACGCTGACAGAAATACAATGGACCGACAACCACACAGAGACAAGACAGGGCTTATATAAAATGGGAAGATGAGAGGGAGATGAATTGCAGGTGTGTGGGGAGAGGGACCAGGTGAACACAATTACTAACTCAGGGAGGGGGGAGAAAATGTCATGAGCGTGTGGCGAGGTGAGCTGAGGTGAGGCAAGGATCCACACGCGGGGAGGAAAACAGGCAGACAGGTGAGAACTTCTAACATTGATTTATTAGAGTCACACGCTGGAACACTGAAACAATGACACGACAGGGAACACAGAACAGAAGGGGTTTAAATACAAGAGGAGCGGGAGCTATGGTGATTGGGAAACAAGAGGCAGGTGGGAGCAATTAACGGAGAACAGACAAAACCTAAGAGTAGACAGGACAGGGCTTGACAGTACCCCCCCCTCAAAGGGCGGATCCCAGACGCCCACAGGAACAAGGAGCAGGGCGGGAGGAGGGGGACCCGGAGGGAGGGCCCAGAGGAACCGAGGGACCACAGGAGAGGCGGCAGGGATCAGCAGAGTCAGGAGGCCTGCGCCTGCTGCAGATGAGGAGGCGACGGGCCCTTGGAGGTCGGCGCCTGCTGCAGATGAGGAGGCGATGGGCCCTTGGAGGCCGGCGCCTGGGGCAGATGAGGAGACGAGGACGAACCCTAGGGGGGCTGCGTCTGGGGCAGATGAGGAGGCGACGAACCCTAGGGGGCCTGCGTCTGGGGCAGATGAGGAGGCGACAGTCCCTTGGAGGCCGGTGCCAGGGGCAGATGAGGAGATGGGGACGGACCCTTGGGGGCCTGCGCCTGGGGCAGAAGAGGAGGCGACGGGCCCTGGGAGGGCGGCGCCTGCGGTAGAGGAGCCCTGCAGGCTGGGCCGGGGACACAGGCAGGACCGGCGACAAAGTCCCTGCAGGCTGGACCGGAGCGACCTTCAGAGTCACCATCAGAACCGGACACGGAGGAGACGTCAGACCAGACGCGACGTCATCGGACGAGCCGACTTCAGGAGTGGAGGCGGCGACGTCATCGGACGAGCCGACTTCAGGAGTGGAGGCGGCGACGTCATCGGACGAGCCGACTTCAGGAGTGGAGGCGGCGACGTCATCGGACGAGCCGACTTCAGGAGTGGGGGCGGCGACGTCATCGGACGAGCCGACTTCAGGAGTGGGGGCGGCGACGTCATCGGACGAGCCAACTTCAGGAGTGGGGGCGGCGAAGTCATCAGACGAGCCAACTTCAGGAGTGGGGGCGGCGACTTCATCAGACGAGCCAACTTCAGGAGTGGAGGCGGCGACGTCATCAGACGAGCCAACTTCAGGAGTGGAGGCGGCGACGTCATCAGACGAGCCAACTTCAGGAGTGGAGGCGGCGACGTCATCAGACGAGCCAACTTCAGGAGTGGAGGCGTCGACGTCATCAGACGAGCCAACTTCAGGAGTGGAGGCGTCGACGTCATCAGACGAGCCAACTTCAGGAGTGGAGGCGTCGACGTCATCAGACGAGCCAACTTCAGGAGTGGAGGCGTCGACGTCATCAGACGAGCCAACTTCAGGAGTGGAGGCGTCGACGTCATCAGACGAGCCAACTTCAGGAGTGGAGGCGTCGACGTCATCAGACGAGCCAACTTCAGGAGTGGAGGCGTCGACCCTTGGATTGGAGGCGTCGACCCTTGGATTGGAGGCGTCGACCCTTGGATTGGAGGCGTCGACCCTTGGATTGGAGGCGTCGACCCTTGGATTGGAGGCGTCGACCCTTGGAATGGAGGCGTCGACCCTTGGAATGGAGGCGTCGACCCTTGGAATGGAGGCGTCGACCCTTGGAATGGAGGCGTCGACCCTTGGAATGGGGGCGTCGACCCTTGGAATGGAGGCGGTGTTGACTTTCATCCGCTTCTGGTCCTCTGGCTTCTGGACCGCCGGTCCCCGAACCGCTGACCTCTGGGCTGGTAACGTCTGCTTCTGGGCCTGCACCAGACCCATCTGCTTCTGGGCTGGTACCGTCTGCTTCTGGGCCCGCATTGTCTGCTTCTGGGCCGGAACCGGAACCGTCTGCTTCTGGGCCTGCACCGTCTGCTTCTGGACTCCCCCTGGAACAGGCCTTGAGTGAACGAGCAGTGCTAGTGCTGAAGACAGGGAGCGCAGAGCGTCGAGTCGGAGCTGATTAGAATGGGCGCTCTGTTGAAGCCGGACCAGCTCAGCCCGTTGACTGGCCAGTTCAGTTGGCTGGACTGTGGGTGTGGCTCCACCTCCCACAGATGACAGAGGAGCCGAGTGGACCGGAGGCGGGACAGCTGGTTCAGCCGGAGCCGCGAACAGTTCGTCCAGCTGGAGCTCAGCGAGCAGGTGGTCCAGCTGGAGCTCAGCGAGCAGATCTTCCAGCTGGAGCCCGCGGAGTTCAGCGAGCAGATCATCTAGCTGGAGGACTTGGAGTTCGATGGTCTGACGAACCTGGGCTGTTTCAACCTGTAGACTGGC